ACATCCACTTTAATATATATATATTTTTTATGGGAATCCAATATATATGTTTGGCCATGGAGTTGCATATTTATAACATGTACTTAAATGGGTCATTAATTTTTTCTTTTAAATTTTATATTTTTTTTAATATTCCCACATTATTTTCTGCTCTTAAAATTATCTTATTTCCCATTTTGATTTAACGTATATACTTTGAAAACCAAGAAAATATATATATATATATATATTTATCAAAAATTATTTTTAAATTAAGGTGATTTATAGCAATAAATAAATAAATCCATACGTATTGACATTGGTATATTTACACTTGTTTAATTTGTTGGTATCTATAAATAAACTTGTCGCCGTGGCTAATTCAGTTTATGCGCATCTCAACAAATTTGTCTTTTTCTAATTTAAGTCTTCAAAAATATTTCCGTATCAAGAGAAATACGCTACCCCCGTATAATATTTTAATTTATTTATTAATTATTTTAGCACAAATTAAATGTGCATAAAATTCTATTTTTTCATTTATACCCTCTACAATAATTATAATTTACATATATAAATAATATTTTAATATATCAATAAATTTATATATGATTTTTATATACTAAACATAATAATTACCCCTTATTTTTATGCTCTTTATGTGTATCTATCTATATATACATAGATATATGCAATTAATGTATAATTGACTTTGATCGTATACGTGCAACCTGTCTCCCGTAATGAATATTTTGTAACAACTTGGACCTAAAAATTTAAATTTTATTTAAAACCTTATTAATTGCATTTTAATTATAAAATGTAAAGTTGGTATGTGCTCTAAATTATTAAAAATAGTATATGTTGTTATTTAAAATTATATTTCATTAACAAATATATGATACTATATTGTAATTAATAATTTAATATTTTGGCTAGTCACCCTTTACTGTTTTTAAATAAATAATTACTATATATATATATATATAATCTATAGTTACGTGTATAAATAAATAAATAAATAACAAAAACAAAAGAGGCCGGGAAACTCTCTTTAAAAGATTTTTGTCAGCAATTAAAGTTTGAAGTGGGAAGGAAGTCTCATGTGCTTCTGTCACCACATTAACTTATCTTTTAATTACTTTATATTATCTTCTCTTTTTTTTCATAACTCTTATACTTTTTTAAACCCTAATTTCAAATAATATATTTAATTATTATGTCTTTAAATAATATTTAACTATAAATTATATTGAATTCGGTACAAAATTTATTTATAATTTTTAGATATATTTTGATTTAATTTTAATATTATATAAATAAATTGTGTGATGTTGTATTAAAAAAATTATTTACGCGTGTTTATATATATTTTTATTTTAAAATAAATTAATAAAAATATCTTTAATATTTTATTTACATGTTATGTTACGAACATATTCGTATAATATTAAATTTTGATTTACTTAACTATTTTATAAATTTTATATACTTGACTTAATTTGTAGTTATTTTGGGTATTAATTAAAAACCTAAACTTTAAATTCACATTTCAAAATTTTAATTAATAATGCCTGCCAATCGACCTAACAACAATAGATACGTAGGGTTAATAAAGTTTCATATTGTTTTATAACTATAAATTATATTTGTATTTTTTTCATCGTGTCACTAATTAAATTTAATAATGTAGTTTATAATTTTTTTTTAATATAGTTATTGTTTTTTTGGAAAAATGTTAAGATGATATATTATAATCAAATTCTATGTCATATGAATTAAAAATATATAATGTACATATAAATTTTAATAAAAATATAACATATGGTTTTAGCTTTATATACAATCTCCCAATAACTAAATTTTTAATTGAATATATGATTTTCACATATTTATAAATTAACCCTACACAAAATATATACATATGTATATATATATATATATGTAGAGATACACGTATTCTTAACCATAAAATAATTGACGAAATTTTTGGTAGAATTAATAAGAATTCTTTAGGTTCATCTTCTTATACTTGTTTGTCTGCATCAACAAAAATGTCCACGTTAGTCTATTCCGACTTGATACGTGTACGTTGATACGTTTAATAGCACACACGTGTCCAAACAACCCCCTATCTCTCTCTCTCTCTCTCTCTCTTCAAGCAACGTTTAATACGTGAAATATTAAATTTTAAAGAAAATAAAAACCCTAAATTTTAAAAAATTGCCACCTTCCTTTAAATTTTTATAACTTAATAACTTTCGTTATGAGAGAAAGAGAGAGTCGGAGTCGGTAGAAACGAATTTAACTCATAAATTTGAATAAAAATTATATTTTAAACTTACTCCGAATTCAATTATGTATTATAATTATTGATCGAATTCAAATATCATGTAACCCACCCGTAAGTTATAATACTATATAATATGATCAGACCTATTCGATATTATATAATATATTTTATTAACAAAACCCTTATCGTGATATGAAAATAAAAAGAAATATGATGATTGTATGAAGAATTCACGTTAAGAAATTATATTATTTAGTAAATAATAGTTATCGAATATTATTTTTAACTAATTGCAAATAGTGCATTGAAAATTTAGTTATACAAGTTAAAATAACAAGTACTTGTGAAAATTTCAAATGGGCCGTGCCCAATAATTTACTCTAACAACATCTCTAACGGATGCTATTAAGGTTGGCCCGAGGGGAAATAAACACCCCGGGCTAAGCCGCTAAGTGTTTGGGTTAATTAATAAATGAACTCTAAGATTGAATTTGCTTAATTAATTGAAGCCTATGAATTAATTACATTAATTTTAATTTTAATTATTTTACTCAATTTTTTTTTTTGTTAAAAAAATATATTTGAAGGTACCCACTAAAGAAAATGACATAACATAAAGTTTTTATAAACATATATTAATATTTAGTGGTCATTGTCACCAGCACATAGCTTTCTTGTATGATTTTTGAAAACATACTTTTATAATTGCTATTCTTCGACGTTACCTTCTCCTTTTTTTTTTATTTTTTTTTCCCAAACTTATTTCTCCTTTATTATATCTATACATGTATGGGAATATTATATTGGGTAGGACTGAATATCCAAAAATACAAAACTTTTAAACCCATAATTAGACTATAAAAAGGATATACAATCCGAGGCTATTTATTATTTAATTAACTACTAATCGTGATTATTTAAAAAAAAATGCAAAAATCAGGTAATAAATCTTATTTTTTTCAACATTAAAATAATAATATATAAATCATTTAATTAAATTTAAAGTGACACTGAATTCAGGAGGTGACATTTTACTTTTGACCATAAACATAAACAGACACTATTATGATTGAGGAGAAGCAAAATGACTTTTACAAGGCTTTTAAAGCGTGCAAGTAATAATCAACTTACTTATATCTAATATGCACACGCATGTATGTATATACGTATTCTCTGTTTTAATTTTAATTATTTTTTGGGGTTATTTTCCATGACTTAAAATATATTTAAAATACATATTT